CAATGACTTAATATCGGTGCTCATAATTCGAAAACAAATTGACAACTGCGTTTAGAAAGGCAACAAATAGCATTTCTAGTTTAGCACCCAATACAACAAATGTGATAAAATAAATCATAATAAACGAATACATACACGTGAGTAAAACCTACACGATTCATATTCGTCAAATATCAAAACAAAATAAAAACTCTAATAATGGATTATATAATATTCCCTGTATTTTAATCAACCGTTACACAGGTATATAGTTAAATTTTGGAACTAACACGATGGTTAAACGCGCATACACGTTTTAAGGAACTTTTCAGCAACCTTATTTGATGTTTGAAATAAAATTTTAATATGTAGCCTATATTAAATAGGTATTCAAAAGAATTCAATTTAAAAATATATTTTCAAAAAATGGATAATTTCAAAGAATATGTGAACAAAAAACAATAAAATCTACACCCGGAAGAAATAAAAATCAAATTAAATTTAAAAAAAAATCCCTTAACACATGTGTGAGCTTAACCATCGTTCTATTGGATGGTTTCCTTTATGTGAGATTATATTTGACATTTACGTCAAACATCATGCACGGGAAAATCACGTAGGAAACGATTGGCGAATACGCTACAGCCCATTCCCCCCTCCCCTATCCATTGATCTATTTACATGACAGCTCTCCTGTGCAGATCATTTTTTACGTCAAACTAAAAACCAATTTCAAAAGCTCGATCTATGTAACAAGTTTCTTTCATATTCAAAACGTACCCATTTCAAAAGTTTCCAAACAATAATTATAAAAGTAAAAATTAACAATGATGTTATAATGTGTATTTGTGAACGTTATTAATTAATTAAATTAATAAGCATTATGTTCAACTTGCCAAGACTTGAGAAATAGTTAGGTATTTTCTAAAAGTAAAAAATGATATTCTGAAATTGCACGCTTAAAACAAACTTAGTGCTTCTGTTTTGACATTTATAAGACATCTCGATATTTATGAATATTAGGCATTTAGGCTATGGGCCAAGAAAATGTTCGATGTAGCTAACAAAGTTGATTTTATACGTTTAATTATGATAGTAATCTACTTTATAATTTGATACAATTAATTTAACGCATTAACATTTTGATAAGACGTTAAAAGTAATATCAGTGTGTATTTATGTTAATATTTAATCTTAATTGAAAATCTATTTTTTATTTAAAAAATGACTAATTACGATATTAATTAGTAACCGGACCTACATTAAATATATTACATTTAATATATTTAGAAATTTGGTAAGTATATTAAAAAGAATCTAAAATAAAATATTAAACGTATTTATAAAAATAATTCAACATACCTAAGATTTCAATATTAACTACAAAAAAAAATAGTTGTTTAGCTTTGTACTTGAGTACACAGTTAGTATATATAATCTATATAAAATAAATTAATATGTTATTTTAGTCCCTATAATAAGTATAATATCATAACTCATAGATATGTTTAAGACATAAATACATAATCGTAAACAACACAACGTGATTTAAAAAAAAGATAAACATCATAATTTGTAACTTGAAGGGAAATATTTAATGACTTGTAAATAATTTGAATAGTAGAATCCATTATGTTTATCCGCGAATAAAGATTCCTAAATATTCTTGTATAGGAAGCGATTATTTATCAACATTATGATGCTTAAAGCAATTGGTTTTGGGAATCAATTAATCGTGCCATTATTCATTAGCATTATAATTTTCAGTGAAACAAATTAAATTAATGAGATTAAAGTAATGTCTTAACACTTAATAAATTAATAACTAAAGAACATAAACAAATTGATAAAATTACATTATTTCAAATTTCAATTTAAATATACCTAAGTGCTTTTAATTACTAAATTATTGATTAAATAATTACAATTTATCCAAAAGAATGTTTTTAATTATAAAACAAAAGGTATTATTTTTGAATTCACTAGTTTATAATTTTCAACAAATATTTAGGTAAATTGTCAAGTATATATTAAAAAAGTGGTGAAATATAGAAAAAAGTAGCAAAATGTAAATTTACAGAACAGACTGATTTATATTACGTTGTATACTTGTATATTATAATTGTAAAATAAAACAATCGTGAAACCAGCAATATGACATAAATAGTATTTTTTCACTTATCTACACAAAGTCCAAAAATTATCTGCATATGGAGCGCAATTTAACAATGGTATTAATAAAAATGTAAAAATACAAATTTCATAGGTACATTATACTGTCATATTGATACAATTGTAATTTTAAATTTAAAAACTTTAAATGTTGTCTCAAGTTCATAAAATATATACTATAATATTTCACTAACCAGGTAGTTCACAAATGGAGTATATTTCCTCGATTTTTTTTTGTATTAACGCTGTACAAGTATGAAGACAATAATGTAAACAATCACGTAAATTGAGCTCTGCTCAGAATCGTCTTTTATATGCGATAAAAGTCTCGTCCAAAATTTAATATGATAGTAAACCTAACCCCTAGTAAGCCCTTCTCAAAACAGTGAACTAGGAAACATGCGAAGAATTTATATTCCTTTTATTAGGTAGATATTCTTTGTAGAATATCGAACGTAATATTTAATACAATTTAAGTTTCAATATTACTAACCGAAATGTCAGCTTAAAGGCTATCTAATATCAAAAGTAGTTCAATGTATTTTCATGTTATTTTTAAAACTTTGTATAGGAAAATTTGTAGAAGTTCCATTCTTAGCTATTAAGTACTTCCTTCAAAACGGAACTATGCATACACGTTGTAATTTTTCGGATTGGCTCAAGTTACAGAATAATAATTTTATAATAAAAATCACCCAAAATAATAATCCTAACTTTTGTAAAGTATCAATTATGTTCAACATTATCTGTTCACTAAAAAAGAAAAAAATTTAAAATGGGTAACTTTAGACGTAAACCAACAGATTTAAAAAAAAAATGATCAATGCAAATAACTGTCATTTTAAATCGCATCAAAAGAATTTTATTTCGCTTCTTAAAGATTACGAATAAAAAGATAAAACTGAATGCATTGAAATAATCATCAATTTTAAGAATTTAATCTGAAAGAATAATATACACTCATGAACAATTAAGATTATTTAAACTTCGACTCGGTACATTACAGAGTTGGCAAAAATCTATACAATGCGTTAAATAAAGCCGCCGATCGACGCATGGGAATGTGCGGAATATTAATCTAGAAAAAAAATTAAAAAATTATTTTTTAAAAACACACTTTTCTAAAAAAACAAAAAAATAATGAAAAATTTAAAAGTGTGTGGTATAATATGTCAAGTTTAAGAGCGCCACACACTTTTAAATTTTTCATTATTTTTTTGTTTTTTTAGAAAAGTGTGTTTTTAAAAAATAATTTTTTAATTTTTTATTTTCTACTTTTTAGTTAAAAAAAATTTTTTAATTTTTTATTTTCTACTTTTTAGTTAAAAAAAATTTTTTTACGGATTATTGTATTGTCATCCAAGACCAAGGTCTATACAAATTTTCAGAATTTTTCATCTTCAAAAAGTGCCTCAAATCGAGCGGGCAAGATTTGATCACAGACAGACGTGTAACCAAACTTAAGAAAAGTGTTAAAAAGGAAATGAATCTCGTTTTAAAAATGACGGTTTTCAATCAATTTATCTGTAAGTTCGACTTTGTTAAATTTGAAAAATATTCTGTGTGTCTTCAAAACTCTAGATTCGTAACATTAGCATTATACCTATTATTATAATATACACTATGTACACATCGCACGCATTATAATATACAACGGATTAATTAAATTGAATGTTAGCTGACTTGCGAAATGATGGACGAAAAACTGTTTTCGGAGGCAGATTGTGTTTTTTCATGCACATAATATTTGGAGCGTTAATACAACTAAACGATGAGTACTGCAACGTCGCTGCAGAGTATAAAATATGCTCGACGGAGCGTGTGACGACTGATGAGTCAGGTACTCAGGTGTATGATACCCTACGTCATAATAGTGGTCGTGTACGATACACGATGTAATAGATGAGTAGGTTATCGTAGAAATAGCACTTAAGTCGCGGCACATTTGCGAAGTAAAAATTGTAATATCCCTACCCTTGTGGTTAAAAGCACGTCCTCCAGGGGTGCAATATTATCAAACATTAAAGTAACGGTATATTGTTCAGGGCCCCGCGTGGGCTCTTTTCGATATCTCAATGTAAACGCAATATATGAGTATTTTGAAATTTACAAATTTGCCAATTTTGATACTTGATAGTATAATGTACGATGGTATAGGACGTGTACCATTATTATACCGCGTATTAATAGACTTATATTACCTATACTACAGTCTCGTGGGTCTCAAAATAATTTCGGGGGAGGTCTTGTGTCTAATCGAACTTGCAACACCTTCTCTTTCCACCGAAATTCAGTACTTCCCTCGCCATAAGAACGGAAGCGTACAGTATGTATACCGATATAATCGACATACATAATATAATAATAATAATAATTATTATTATTATTGACTATTGTATGACGTGTTTTTCCATAATCTGATGGCGTACCATTGTACCAAGTAGAGGGGGGGGGGCAAAGTGGCCATTCTGCCCGATCGGCCGTATTTTTATTTTTTTATTAACATATTACGTCATTACCCACCTATGAATTTATATTGTTATCATGATATGCAGTGTCAAACACGCGGTATGAACATATTTGTATCCAGACTGTGTGTGGATGGATCATAATATTATGGAGTAGTATAATATATTAGGCAATATTTGTACAAATCGATTGAATTCTGTATAATATTTTTTGCTCCTCCTCCTTTTAGAAATCCTGGCTATACAAACGTCATACTGCCATCATAGTCCTACATAATATAATAATAATTGTCATAATATTATATTATTGTTGTTGTTGTTGTTGGGTTGCAGCGGCGGCGGCGGTTATTTCGACAAAGAGCGGATGAAGTTACCCCCATGATGCCCGTTATGCTGATCCAGCACCACTTATTGGCCGCTGACGTATTCGAGTGCTTTACCGTTCGGATGACGGTATCCCATTCACCGGCACACCGGGCAATGCGCTACTACCGTATCTGGATATACACGTGCAACACCGTGCTCATGGTGTGCGTCGTGTGCTTCGTGGTGATCGCCTACCAGCTGGTGGTGGCCGACCAGCGGCGGCACCTGGTGCCGGGCCTGGACCTGTGCCATCCCAGTCTGCTGTACGTGTACGCCGCGCTGTTCGTCCAGTGCACCGTGCTGCAGATCGTCGGCTTCCTGGGCGCCCGGTCCCTCAGCGAGCGGCTGCTCAACGTCTACTGGCTGCTGCTGCTCGGCCTCCTGGTCGGCGACGCCGTGCTGGGCGTCTACTGGGTGTACAGGTACGACAAGATGGTGGCCCGGCTGAAACCGGCGCTCCGGGACCGGCTGGCCGTCGACTACGGCCGAGACAAGCGGTTCACGGACGTATGGGACGACCTGCAGCGCGACCACGAGTGTTGCGGCGTCAACGGGCCGCCGGACTTTTTCAACGTCACCGTGAAAGTGGGCGGTGAGTGTTACATAATATTTTTCGTTGTTCGTTGTTTTGCCTCCCAAGAGAATCCATCACGTCGTCAGCACCATATGTTAAGTATAGTTGTAGCCTTGTAGGGATATTGGTATGTGTCTATATGTATACGCAAGGTTGAGGCAAAACCACCGACCACCGACCACCAGCATGGGCGTAACTATAGGATTTAATATATTATAGTTACAGGGGCTAGGTCCTAGAAAACCAACGTACAAAATAAGCTATAGATGCAGAGCGTCAATAAAGTTTAGTAGTCACATAGTGGAGTCCTGTAAAATCAAAATTATTGAAAATAAACCATACAGTAAAAACGTCCCTCCATCCTCGTTATTAAAATAATAGTAGAGGTACCTATGTATAATATATATTTTATAAACGTATAATACGCATATGTTTAGATGTAAATGTTTATAAAATACCATTATCGATAATCTTATTAGATACCTAATTCTCTTTTTATATTTATTATAGCCAGTTGACTGAATCTGTTTTGGGTCGTAGTCAACCTGAAGTATGTCTTGATTCTCCCCATGTACCTATACATAAACTCATGCATGGTACATTCACAATATTTATTTATTATAATACACCTACATATTAAATAATTACTACCTGATCCCACGCACTTCGCTGCCCGTAAAAATTACAACTCTTAAAAAAATGTTGATTGTTCAACTCGTTTTGGGTGTAACTCGTCCCCCCCCTCTGGTAGGAAATGTGCAAAAATACGAATTGATGCATACTTTACCTGATCTTCTCAAATAACCAATGGCAACCAATAATAAATAAATAAAAATTTCTACTAATTATTATTTCTCCCATTGGCTATAACTAATAGCAACCATTTATAAGCAAAAATTGCCATCGTAAGTCCCAAATTCCCTGTTTGAGCACTTCCCCGGGGTGGGCTTAGGTACCAGTTACCAGGTTAAATTGCGCATCCAAACCATTCAAGAACCCACTAAAGTACACACAAAAATTGTCATCAAAATCGGTTCAGCCGTTTAGAAGGAGTTTGAATGACAAACGACTGGAGTTCTGACACAAGGACAGAAGAAATATATATTATAATATAAAGATCTATAATTATTTTACACATAGTTAGTTTTTTTTTATGCAAGGAATTCGTTTTTAACCAGGATGGGCTAAAAAGTAAAAACAAATAGTGGGCTAAGCTTGGGCTATAAAAATTTAAAATACTGTCAATATTATGTCATGATAATTATTAAAAATACTTACTTTCAAACCAAAAAAGTTGTTTCATCTCATGTTTTTTTTAATTAGATATAATTATTAAATGTTATATTAAAAAGCTAGAACTATTAAGATTCAACACCCTTTAAAAATAGCCTCTATATTTGCAACACGATACCCCCTAAATTCGGCAATCCGCGCAATATGGATAGACATACAGTCACACTATACCTATATTATATAATATTTTTGATCGATACTGTAGATTTTCTTTAAGCAGTGTAGGTTAAGTGTTATTTGGTATATTTTATACGTCACCGGACTTTTTTCGTGTCATGATTTAATTTGGTTCTGTGGGAGGCACAAAATGTCTATATTTGCGTCGAATATAATAACATAGATGCACAAAAAAAAATCGACGTCGTCATCGTCCGTTAGTAACCCCCACTAATATAGGCCTTTCCTCAATGGGTCACACAAAGTTTGCAAATTATTATTATTATTATTATACGTGTGTGTGTGTGGGAGGTCGTTGAATAAGTATACTTAGTTTTCACGTTTGAAAATAAATTATTAGGACGCTGTATTATTTACACCGTATAAAATATTCTAGAATCCAAAATTTCGAATACGATTTCAACCCAAATACACAACAAAATATATTTTCCTACGCATATATAATATATTATAATGACGAACGCATTTTCAACACGATCAATTTTGCATGTAATAGTGTGTGTCATTGTAAACGCTTATAATATGGACTGATGCCATCTATCCGCACGTCCGGGTGTTCCAACAGAAATATCTATCAGTTATTTTTACCAAAACACACTCAAACGCTCACAAATCGATATCGATATTATATGATAAATTATACACATTTAAACATTTAAGATCAAAGCTATCTAAACACATTCTTAGTACCTAACTGCGCTTCTGATGTATTCTTACTCAATAATATTGAGTAAATATTTTAATATTTTAAATCAATTATTCTGAGCATACTATTTTACTTTTATGGTTATTATGCTAAGAATTAACGATGATAATTAATGTTGGGGAAATAAAAAATAAATGTTTAAGCGGTTAAGTACACGTTATTTGTTAACCTTAAGTTATTTTAATAACAATTTAAATTTAAAATCGTATACGCTATACAGTAACGTGTAGCTCCTAATCAATAACTACATATCATACGTATATAATATAAAATAGAAGAATTGTTATTTGTTCTGCTAACTTTTAAATAATAAAAACAAAATTACGAAAAAATGTATGACACATTTTCAAAAACCTAAATTCTGTAAGAGATTTATGATTCTAGACCTCGTTAGAAATTCTAGTTAAGCTACGTTATTAATTACAATGTCTCTTGCGTTATAAATGGATACCGGAATATACAGGCATTAATTATTCAGCAGTTATTGCATACGGCCACGTAATAGACCTATATCTTCGAACTTTCTCAACGGGTGTAAGTCATACTCGTTGGACCACTATTTAGAGTACAACATAATTGTAATTCAATGATAATTATTTTTCATTTTTATATAAATAACCTTTTAAAAGCATAGACTAAATAGGGGTACATATAATTAATGCATAATGCATATAGAGTTTAAATATAAAATATTTATTACCATGTAGGTACTTGAAGATATACTGAGATGAAAGAATTTAACTTTAGATATTTTAATAATTGTATCAATCGACAATCATTACGAAATTCAATAAAAATGACAAAATATCCAGAAAAAAAATAAACTGAAGAGCGTTAACCAAATCTAGTTGATAGAAAGAGCTTGAATTTGTTTAAAAACTAATTCATACAAGGTACAATACCTACCACAAGAATATTTTATATTAAAATGAGTAAAATTTAAAAATAATATACGTATAGGGTTGGACATAAAACAAAAAATACAATGTAAGCATTTAAGTCTCAATAGACATAATCCGATAATCGAATCTGTGTAGGATTGTAGGAACGCAAATACCATAAAACAATACAGTATAATATTCTTTATAAATTGAACGAAAATCAGCGCTTACCTAGCGTTTTTTTTTTTATTTTAATAAAACATTCTCACGCCATACATTGAAAGGTTTGCGTGTCGCTGGTCTCCGCTTCCGTGTAAAAAAAATCAAATATTTATAATCGTTATAAGAAAAACTTAGAGAAAATTATGGTCGTGTTTTTTTTTAACCGTGATACCTATTTTTTTCGAGAAATTCGAAATTTAGAATAACTATATGATTCTTTTCCCCTCTAAAAAAAAATTAAGTTAGGTATGATTAGATCCAAAAAAAAATGTTTGTAGATTCAACTCTAAGTTATACTAAATTATAAGAAAATGAAGATCGAAATATTAGCATTTATTTTTAACAATATAATTTTATACAAAAAGAAACTTGATTACTATAATATCTATAGTAATAATATTGCCTTATTGGTACTTAGTTATTTTTCTGTTGTCCATTTAACAATGGAATAATTAGTGTTTCTTAAAAAATACTGTTATACATTTCATATTTGAAATTATGTTAAAAGTTGAAACTAATATGTAATATAGGTATCTATAAGTATAGCTAACTACAATAAGTAACAGAAACAACAATAAAATTACAATGTAAAATACGATTATTATAACCTAAAATGTATAAATTATAGTGAAAGGTACCTGGGTTATGGTTATAAATTAGAAAAAATATATGGAACATTTAAAAAGATTAAATCTTGTTTCTTGTGTAATGCTGTTCAAAATTATGGAATTTTACAACACGTATTATTCTAGTTCCAACTTACTAGGTAGTATATATAAAAACTTATACACTACGCAAAAATATTTAAAAATATATTTGAATTTTAGTAACATCAACATTATATTGTATTATTTAAATATTGTAAATTATAAATTATAATCTAATTATAGATACCATAATTTATACCATAAGTAACAACTAACAATATACAATAATATTTTTTCTATAACTGAAGTTAAAATTATAATAATTTTTATTTCAATGCAAATAGATTTGGTTTTAATATAATTATTGTAAATGTTAATGTTATACAAAAATAAATAATCTGAAACCTATCTTTATGAAATACATTTCTTCAAGAAACTTAAGCTAAAAAAAAGGTGGGAATGTGGATGTCGCTCTGCTGTACAGTAGGTTACAAGTGGGTCACTGTAATAGATGGTGTTAAATTTGAATTCAATAATATCATTGTACAAGAAAAACGATTCTGAGCGAAAACGATCAGTCATCCTATGATATTACTAAGTATATTTGATGATATTAAGGTGAATAAAGTAATTTATATATAACCTATTTAGGTGGAATCTTGTTTTAAACTTACATTCCTTAGCTATAAAAGTTGAACATTTTATATATTTTTAACTACAAAATAATTATTACAATTTAAATGTGATACATTTTGTCAATATTTGAACATTAAATGCTTATAAAAAAAAATGGTGACGATTGATTTTTAATTTTTATCATCTGCCTTTGAAACAATATACTATAGGAGCCTTCTATTAAATTGTCAAGCTTTTTTAACAAACAAATACAATAATATTGATATTTATAGAAAAAAAAACTAAGAAAAATGGAAACTGAAAATGTCCGTAAATAGCTCAAAATATTTGGAAAATGTTATGGTGTATAGAAAATGTTAATATATACATTCAGTCAAAATGTCATGTGCCTACGGTCATTTGTTTAAGAGTTGAACCAAAAAACCAAAATCGATTTTCTCGAAAACAGATCTTGAGTAAAAATTCTCGTTTTTCCTTAATTTTTCTTTTGTTTTTCACGGCGCTTTTGAAAACTACTTTAAACTTTTGCCCCCCGAAGTACCAACTAAATTCACTTTCCTATCAGAAAAGATACTGTTCAAGAAAATCTAAGCATTTTTACTGTCCTAAAAGGTGATGACAGACAAAAAAAAAAAAAAATACACACATTGTAAAATCCATACATTCATCGTTTCACTCAGAATCTAAAATGTATAAGTAATAAGTAGGCATAGAAAAATATGTGATTGTATTATTTCATATTTTCCACTAAATGTAGATTTTGTGATGCAATTCAATGGTGTGAGATAGGTAGAATTTATTTCATTCTTAATATTAGTGCTTTGCATTAAACTGAACGTACGGGTTTCGAAAATAGGCAATTATATTTTATTTCGTCAACAGTAAAATATTTGATGTAATAATTGTATTGAAGGCGAACAGTGATAATATAAATAGATAATCTAATTATTTTGCGAACAAAAAGCAAATAGAAAATTGAAACAACTTTAGTAAGTGATTCAGTCCCTGCTATTTTTCATATTAAACATTAAAGTGAGATTTTGTCATTTTGAAAATATACACATGAAAACTTACTGTCAGAGGTAAACTTCAACAAAGTTCCAACCGTTTTGCGACTATATTTTAGTACCTACTTAGTTTGGTCAACGCTAATTTAACGAAGGGCTAACGTAGATACATTTATCACAGACCTTGGACCTATTTAGAAGTCAATGTCACAGCGCTTTTATTATTTCCTGCATGAGCTGTACCTATACTATATATTATTAATTTATGTAACCCGTATAATACAATAATAAGGGTATAGGTAGTTATATATCATGAATAAATTGTACAGTTCGGAAAAATATATACTCTCTGACAAATTGTTGAATATAAATGCAATATTTTTTTTATTACTTTCCAGTTGAACACTTTGTCGATTACACGACAGTTCTCCCGGATAGCTGCTGCTACCATAAGCCAGAGGCAGTGGCGTCACCATTCCGAAGGGACTACTGGCAGCCACAGACAACAACCACTGCTGTATGGACCACGGTCCAGGCGGAAGAGCACGACAATATGGAAGAGATGCCCATCAAGTGTCGGCACAATTCATACCGGTACTACTATCCCGGATGCGAACGGGCGCTGATGGCGTGGATACGAAGAAGTGCCGACGTCCTGTTCGTCCTCGGTTACTGTGTCATATCATTTTTGAAACTGTGCTTTCTAGGCATTCTCAGGTAAACTGGACCTAGACGAGTGTTGTAGTATTTTATTCCGTAAGGATCAATACGATCTTATACCCGTGCAATTATAGATTAAACAAGGATATATCCTGAATATTGATGAATCTGCTATAGGTACTTTACTTTAGGTATATATACAAATAGGCAGTGCGTATACGAGTATACATTATTCATCACACTTCTCTGCGAACACAACATCTTATTCAATTTCTAAGTAGCATTTGTTCCTTTTGTATTTAAATGAGCGTATTGACTTATTGAGTTTTCCAACATTGCGGTCGCTGCTGTTGGTTTTAAAATGTATATATACGAAATAAATTCAATAGAATAATTAGTCTAACTACTATTATTATGTATCTATACAAATATTGCCTTATATGCCTTATAAACAGCTTATTAATGTTGCTTGATAAATAGGTCCAGAAATGTTGAATCGCTTATAGAATAGAATAATGTATTAAACAAGAATTAAAAACCTACCTTTTTTATTGCTTTTTAACTATTTACTAATATATTCTACATAGATAGGTAATAACTTCATTTTAACACTTCTAATTTCTAAATGTTTTTTGTTTTTTATTTCATCCCGCACTTCGTTATTGATTATTGAATTAGTCGAAATACTCTAAACATTTCATAATATCTATACATATATGTATTCTTCATATTATATCTATAAAAAAATGCAATTATATATAGATTATACGAGAACACAAATTGAATTTAATGCCCCTTATTATGATTAGAAATATTCAAATATTTAGTGATTTATTCTAAAGAGATTTTCAAAAATACTAATTTGAATTTCCAACAAAATCGTTAGCATTTTTGTTTTGTTTGAATTTATGATTAAAATATTTTTTTTAACAGGTATGAAATTCGAGAAATGATCCAAAAAATAAAAATACTTCATGGAGATACAGCGCGACTAGAATTAGTCAATGTACCCCAACAACCTACAGGGAAGTTGTTACAAAAAGTTGAACATAATGGTAGCGTAGTACGTGTATCTACTCCTATCAGACAAGACAGTCAGATAGGTTAGTACAATATTATTTCTGAGTACATGTTATATATTATATTATACTTTATAATAATAAAACAATTTATTTTAACGATAATTCTCCAGCTAGAATTCCAAATACATACCTAATGAATAAATACATTAAATTTTAATTCTAATTTCAGAAGGAAGTTTAGATGCAGTGAAACCACTTTTAAAAGGTCGTTCAATAGAAGCGACATTCAGGGTAAAGTCCTCGAACACGGACGGCAATGAATCAGACACTAATAGCCACAGTGCGTTATTATTGTGTGATGACAAACGATTGACAGGCTCATCTAGTAAGAGTAACTACGAACTTCACGAGTTAAAAGATGTAAACCGACTACTAACCACCAGACATAAGAATCAAATATGACTACGAAGATGCGTGGCCGCTTGGTTCCGATTGATTGACAGTAACCAAAAATTCCCATTGTTGGCGACACCAAAACCGCATAAAATTTATTAAACAAAAAATAAAAAAAAAAACAATAAAATATTATTAAAATTGGAAGATACATTTTTTACGTGATACCTACATTAAATTAATTCAAAAATAACAAAAAAGAATACCTACTATAAAAATAGATTTCGAAATAAAAAATAAAATAGTGAAAAAAATTTTTTTAATTTATAATTTGTCATTATACAAGTACACAAAATAAATAATTTAAAACATCATAATCACTTATTAACTGATTAACTGCAAGGCATAAATGTGATTGGAGTAGACTACATGGTGCTACATGTCAATAAATTGATTAAGTATAACAATAATAATTAATAAAAGAAATGTTTAATGATTAAAAACAACTTATAAAAACATGTATGTGGTTATGTTGAATTAATTTTATGAATCATCCATTGATTGTGTTCGAAGGATTTCATTACCTCAATATCTTTTTTGTAGATACTTATTTCAAATTTAATATTTTTTTTCTTCAAATTCTATTACATCATTAATTGAATCCTTATATTCTGCCTTAACTTTTTGTGATAGTGACATTTATTGGTCGATTTTAAAAAAAAAAGTCAACTTTTGTAAGTAAAATATAATTTGGTACTCCTTAAATAAATTGTATAAAGATAAATAATTATAGTAATACATTTTATTTCCAACTATAACACTAAAGATTGAACGAGCCAAACTTCTATATTTTATTTAATATTGTAACTAAATAGTGAATTACAATTTTTCCAGCAATCTATTAGCAACCTAATGTAAATGTTTCTTTCATTAAAAAAAATTTTTTTTGTGAACTCAGAAGTTTTAATATTATACAATTTTGAGAAATATTGCTAGCAAAACATTTAAGCAGATAATCTATAGCGATTGAAATATTTGTTTAAGTGTCTTAAAAGATATGAGTACAGTATTACTTTTTTAGTACCTACTTCTTAAAAGGAAAACGTCCTACATAATTGTTATTACCAATATGAATTTATAAACATAAATATAATATAACAACAAATAATTATATACTCTCATTAAACCTTGAATGTATTTAAACCATATGAATATGGTTTTTACACACCTCTGGTGACAAGTTTTTATATTTTAACTAAATTAAATTCTATTTGTCTTGTTTTCAATTAATGTACCTATTCATAAATACCTATGGTATATGGTTATCCAACAAGTCTACTTAGATAATATATTATAATCCCCAGTGGGACACATAAGAAAAGATCTACAAACTCGATAGAAGTTTAATTCGAGTAGCTCAAAGTGGGATACCTCAATAGATTAAATGGTATAGATACAAATTGTTTAAATAACGATTTTGAAAAGATTAACTATCTGGTTAAAAAAATAAATGATTTTACTTCCAGTAAAAATATGATTAGGTACTTACTCTCAAATGTCAATAAATTATAAAGCATTCTATGTGCTAACAAGTATATAATGAACTCAAAACTCGATTTTGCAGTTAAATTTATATAAGTACCTACTTAAATACCTACTAAACCTAATTTCCTTATTATTATAACTATTTAATTGTTGAAAATCTAAAACAAGATCATTACAACCTACTTATTTCTAATTTATTATAAAATAGTTATACTTCTTATCTTAAATGTTTTAGTTTTCCAATGGAGCTACATTTTATAATACTGTTAATTCTAATTATGTATAGCCTATTTTCTTGTGTCATGGACTTGTCGCTTCCCAATTGTCTTTAATACAATCATGAAAATGTATGTAAAAGTTTGACTGTACTAGCGAAATCGTGGTTAGGTATGTTTTATTTGTTATTAATTAAAAATAAAATGTTAAAATGTTTGTTGTACAATAAATGTTGTAAACTTTGTACTATTATTTTTTAAGCATTCCTAGAGCTATTATAATTATTATTAATATTATTATTAAAATAATGATTTATCAATATTGTTTTTTATCATAATCTAAAACACCTATCCTTCATTCTCCTATCATATACTACAGTGGCGTACATAGAAATATTTTCTGGGGTGGGTTATAGTAGATAGAAACTAGCAAGTGATCTATTAGGTACTTAGAAGCTACTGTCTACTATATATTTAACAGTTTCTATAAATATATTTGTATTTGTTATTTGTCAACAGGCTATGAAATGTTATAACTTATAATAGTACCTATCTAATAAAATATATTGTTGTTCTATTTAAAAAGACTGTAATTACGTGGGGGGGGGGCTGCAGCCCACTATGCCCACTCCCTATAAACGCCACTGAATACTGATATACTATTATTCTACTACTCTTGACACATAAACAATAATAAATAAATAGTATCATAAATATCTATTTTAAATAAGCTTCAAATTTAATTATTTGTAATTATTTATACTATAGTTATTAATTACCTATTAATAAAGTTTAACTAACCTTTAAATCTTCATCAACTTGAAGCACATAGTCTATGTTACTACCACCAATTACTACCTAGATCTCAAAATAAAAATATTAAGTTAATGATTTTAAAATATTAACGAAAAAGTTTAATTTACATACAGGAGATTTTGTAGACTTTTTTATACTCTTTTTCACTTCAAAAACTGATTTTGGGGTAGAAGACAATTTTGAATAATACTCCATAGCAATTTTACTTCCAACCAAAGAGTTATTCTTTAATAAAGAAATGTCTAAAAAAATAATAATTATAAATAAATGAATTACTTAATGGAATTGCATATTTTCTATTATTTTTACTAGTATCCATAGAAAGTCCTTTTGTCAGTCGACTAACTTCACTCAGAACAAAAGGAGTAATATTTTTTCCCATGATTCCTTGCTTTTCACACATCTGACTAGCATTTTTTATTGCTTCGTCAATGTCTGTTTCTTTGAAAAGTTAAATCATGTTACTTATTAATCATACTGTATAATTGTACCCTATTTTTATATGAAAATGTTTATAATACAAAATATATTTACTTTTTATTCTTTCTTCTAGTATTGGAACAGCTAACAGAACACCAGATCCTGTATTTTGACATTGTTCTAGAAGGCCAGCTGCTTCACAGGGCGTAGTTACATTACATACAGACTGATATCCGCTTTGTTTAGTATAAAATGCAGGAAACTCTCCATTTGAATCATATGAAGCAACACAGACACCCACAGTTTCCTTTAATTTAAATAGTCTATTAGTGAAGTATGTATTTGTCATAATTATTCCAAAATGACACTACATAAATACTTACAAGGTATTCTAAAGTTCGTCCTATATCAAGTATAGATTTTATACCAGCAGATACAACCATTATTGCACATCTAGACAACTCAATTAAATCAGCACTTACATCTAAGGAATTTTGACCATCTATATGAACTCCGCCGATTCCACCTAAATATAACAAAATTCAATTATCTAACAATAATATGTTTTTAATATTTTTCAACATTATTTGAAATGTTTACAATGTACATAGGTACATATTTACTATTTTTTAAGTTTTCAATTAATTATGCCAGTAACATACCAGTAACAAAGAATTTTATGCCCAAAGCATTAGCAATAACTAATGTACCGGATACTGTAGTGCCACCATTTAAACCCTATAATGATAGTTAAAATATTACAATGGAGTAATTAGGGTTTGTTTTAATAAGAAATCGTATAATTATTTAAAAATATAATATATAGGAAGATATTTTAAAATTTACTTGGCTGAGCACATAAGGAAAATCTCTCCTTGAAACTTTGACTGTTTTTTTCTCAGCTGATAAGCCAAGAACATTGATTTGTTCAGGACACATACCGGCTTTAACTCTCCCATTAATTATACCAATTGTAGCCGGAATTATATTCTGTATAGAAAAAATATGAATTACAAAATAAACTATATAGTAATTATATTATACCTATTAGGTATTGGATTCTATTCAGTTATAATAATTACGTGTGACTTGATGATGTGTTCCATTTCCAAAGCAGTCTCCACATTTTTTGGGTATGGTAATCCGTGTGTAATAAGAGCTGATTCTAATGCAATTACTGGTTTTTGGTTATTCAGAGCGTTTTTAACTTCGGGGGTGACATCTATAGAATTTCTAGAAAAATATCGGCAAACATACTTGAAATTTCCCTTCATAATGAAACAGTAGTGCTATTATATTGTATTCCAAATATTAGAACTTATATGTTATACAGTAATGAACAAACAACAAATTCAAATCTGGTAGATAGGTATATACAAATTGTAGTGCTTTGGTAGCTATAATCACTATAAGTAATGCATGAGGTTAGGTATAAAGATAAAACACTTATGAGAACATTCAACTGTATAGGTACATTTTATCGTACTCATTATAACATAATAACAATATCTAATTAATTCAATAAACATCCAATTGATCGACCTTTGTAGTCTGTACACAGATAGATAAGCTAGCATGGTAGGAAAGTAGATTAACAAATATAAAAAAAATTGATAATAAACAAATAATAATTACATAAATATCTAATAGAAATAAAAAAAAAAAAATCAGTACTCGATGCTTTTTTGTATACTGCTGGTACCTAGTTGTAGATAATATTATTATGTTCAATGTTGTTATACATAATTATTATTTCCTTAAAAGTATATTACTCAAATACCACCCACAAGTCACAACTCACAGGGCTACAGCCAACTTTAATATTTTGACTGAAACATTTAAGACGTCAATAAAAAAATTAAATAGAATTAACCAATTTATACAAGTTTTACATTCATCATAATTATTAATTTAACAATACTTTTTTTAAGTAGGATACCTACTACTGGTATTTAGTAGGTATAAAATTGAAACCCGATACCTAGATATCTAAAATTATGGTTTTACATGGCAAGTACCTCGGTAACACTCTGCAGTCTGCTATAAATGTCAAGCACTCGGGTGTACCTTGAAGTTGAGTAAGTCACTGTAGTAGACATGTTATATTTGAATTTTTATTCTTTATTTTTTGGAGAAAATATACAATTTATATCATGTTCATAACTCATAATGAGTACCTATAATATTATGTGGGTTAAGAAAAAAAAATAGAACATAAGTTACATAATTTTGGGAAAGAAACCACCCACAGAGTGAACACTTTCAATTTAATTTGGTCTTGTAATTTTTTTTTTTTAATCTAATAAGTCTGCACCGACTGCACCATTTTCATCTAAGTTGCCTTGGGGGCTACCTGGGATTGTGATGGATGATAAGTTCTTGATGAGAGGATTTGAATGAGTAGATAGATGGTAATGAAATTTTCCATAGGAACATTTAGCTTTGTCGTGAATTTTTTTTAAGTTACAATCTATGTGTAGAGTATGGTTTGATATATATGGAGGGACATTCACTCATTTTCTTAAGGTCATATTTTGAATAACTTATATCTTATTTAGATTGGACTTTTTAGCACTTCTCCATAGCATGTCCGCATGTTCAGATGGGTTTTAATAAGGTTTTGAACATAAGGAGTTTGATATTAATAGAGGTGACTTTGTTACCAATCAAATGTATAAGTAGCTGATTGTTTAGGGATAGTCTTTTTTCACTTAAATGTTGAGCACAAGTTAAGCGTCGATCAAGTGTTAGACCAAGGTATTTTACTGAAACATTTGTATTTAATGTTAAATTATTAAGCATCGAAAAACGATTTACTACAGTATTTGGACAGTATATCATATAGTCATATCAAAATTCAAAATAATTATAGTAGGTACTATTTTAGTTACTGTTTATGTCATCATAAATTTATATTGCTATTAATTATAGTAATTTATTCCACTATTAGTAATATGATAGGCATCAATGGGGTGCCAAAGCTGGACAGTTACCTCAATACCAAAATGTGTGGGTGGGTACCAGTCAATGGATTTAGTACTATAAATTTTTTAATAATATTTATACTATACAGTACAAAAAAATATTTAGACTAAGAGTTGAGGATGGGTGGTCATTGGTCAAATGGTATAGTTTGCCTCAGGTCTGAAAATTATTCAACACGTCATTAAATTATACAATATAAATAGCCATTAAGCAAGAGCTTAAAATTTGTCCAAACAATTTGAAATTTCATTGAGTATAGAAAATGATAATTTAAGTAACAGACAACAGTAGAATGTTTCAAGTTCAAAAAAACTAAAACCAATAATTTTCAATACTTAAAGCAAAAAAAATATAGTATATATTGATAGTGTATAGAGATAGTGCGCATTCACCACTTTCTTTTCAATATCAATGTTTTGAAGCTGATATTGAGCCAGTACGGTAACTATATAGTATGTATTTTTTTACTATTAAAATAAATTCTGGATGTGTTAACAGTTCAGACAACTAATACCAAAACTACCAAGAGAAAATTGGTATATATAATGTATTGATGATAATATATTTACTATATTATATTATATGAGAAAGAACAAGTATTGTCAAGGAACGCGTTCCTAAAAGAATGATGCCTCGAATTGATTCCTTTTTAGAGGAATTAATGAAGGAATAAATTCCATTATTTTTTAAAGGAATAGGAACGTAAATATTATAATTCTTTTGTTCTTCTCGGAAAAGTTTAAAAAAACATTTGGTGAGAAAAATGTTGTATTTTTGTTTACTTATCATAGTTTTAATCTATAAAAAGCAACTGTTTTCTGATTAGTCATTAGTGATTATAATAATAACTAATAACTCATGAACCATGAGGAACAAGGAAAAGACTAAGTTTCTTTTTCATAGGAACTAGGATTTGAACTAGTTCCTTTTGACATTAAATGAAAGAGGAGCTGAATGAATTCCTATTTATACTAAAGGAACAAAAAATTTAACGGTTTCCCATATAAAAGGAACTTTAACAACACTGGAAAGAACCATGAATACATTACATTAGAGTAATTTTTCTAGTGTTCATAAGTATTTAGTAAGCTACTCTAACCAATAATTTTCGAATACACCCAAGCATAGAGTAACTATGGGTACAATGTATAGTGATTATCTTGGGTCAAACAATATCAAATGTATTACTTACAAGTAATAAGTTATAACTCTTAGTCTTTATAAATAAATACCACATTATAATATGTATTATGTATAACCAGTACTGCAATAACCTAAAGAGTATGGGGTAGTCAAATAGGCACTGTACAATACATTATGGACACAAAATGGCCATTATGTCTTGATTTGAGTGTAATCTCTTTTGCTCTGGAACATAAAAATCTTAATTGACACATTGCCGACTGTAACAGATAATTACATAAATAGGTACATCCCAAAACCAGTCAACTTTGTAGAGCTATATCTCACCATGGAAGTAGAATGAGGGGTCTATAGCCCCATTGGATTTGGTTTAGCCCCCTCATGTAAATTTTTATTATTTATATGTTTAGAATATACGTTGTGTACCAGAAACATAATTGACAGATAGACTATAATAAGACCCTTATATAAATTCATCATGCTACAAATATGTATCTAGCCAATGGATTAATGAAAAATGAAAATTTTAAAGTGAACACTTATAAAAAAATATTCTTATTAATTTAAAATATTTTTAGTATAGGTTGCAACATGAAGATCAAATGCTGGTAGTGGTTTAACTGATAAATATAAGTGAAAGAATTAAAGTTAACTATAATTGTATTAAAACATGTATCTAACCTTTTTCAAAAAATCTGGGAAAAAACTCAATACTTTGCTAAATAATAAGTGTTACATTAAATTAATTGCTCTGTATAAAATTTTATATATATATATATGAGATTTATTTAAATTTTTAGATTATTATTAATTATATTATACATTTTTTTAAATTTGTATTAATTATATTATAAAATTTTATAATATTAGTATTTAATATGTTATAAATTAACAAAATTATGTACACAATGACAAATGCGTGATTCAAAATGTGTGGGACTCAATAGTTTTTGTAGCAACTAGTGGTATCATGATTTCAGTTAACTTTCCTAATAACTCTATTGTTTTGATTTGATCTGCATTATTAGTTATTCCATTATCAACCATGTTTTTTTTCGTTTCAATATGAGCAAAAAGTTCTTCCAAACATTTGCTGGCTTGCTTAACTCTGAAATAAAATATAATACAATAATTACAATTAATAGTCGTTCCTAAAGATCTATCTAGAACAGGGATGGGCAACTCAAAGTTACTATAAAGCCAGTTTTCGGAACTTTAAGATCTAGCAGCTCAGAGCATAAATAATGCAAAAATAACGTAGTTTATAAAAACAGATAAACATTAAAATTGTATGAAGTAATTTCAAAATGTAGTATGTGCCGGATAAAAAAGGTACGTGAGTTGCCAGTTGCCCATCCCTGACCTAGAACAAATGTTATTTAAAATTATATTATTCGAACCTACCTTTTAAATATTATCTTATTGTGCTTTACATCTAATTCCTCTAGCCATTGGGAGAAATGATCACGCAGATCTTCTAAAGACGGATATAATTGTGTGTTGTTCATAAACTGTATTAATGGCTCTGATATCGATCCACTGATATCGCAACTTATGTTATACATAATGGCTCTAATCTGTTCTACAGAATCCATATGGTCATTACTTTTGTTTATAACTGAATGTATTACAGTTCCAATTACAGATGCTATTTCCTCAAGTTTCTTAAATGCTAAATCTGTATCTCCTAAAACAATGAGAATAATTAACTCTATAAAAATAGTTAAGTTAAGTTAAGAGAACACAAAATTGATAAATTATAAGTTAACAGTTAACAAATCATAAATTTAACTTGATAAGTTAAAAGTTAATATAGAAAAAAATATTAACTTAACTCAGTTTAAAAAAAATTAATCTATTATTTTTTATTAGCACAGTGTAGGTACTCTCCATTATCCTTTTATATAGGATAAGCAAATTTTTCGGATAAGCCGTTAAATCCAATTGAAACAAAAATTCAATAATTTAATTATTAAAAAATTATAATTATGTAAATCGTGTAATGTTATATACATAGTATTTAAAGAAACTTAAATGAGTACCCCTTTTTTTTTTATTTTTAACCCAATAAAGCGGCTTGTACATTAATTGCATTTGATCATATAAATGGTTTGTTCCTCAAAAGACTACAGCTGATAATCGAGAG